GAATAAGAGTCTGTTAAAGATGCTGTAAGAATAAGAGTCTGTTAAAGCGCTGTAAGAATAAGAGTCTGTTAAAGGTGCTGTAAGAATAAGAGTCTGTTAAAGTGCTGTAAGAATAAGAGTCTGTTAAAGGTGCAGTCTGAGGACAGAACCCTTCAGTGTGTCTTGAAGTGACCTACAGGTGATGGAATCAAAACAAATGGTGTTCTTGTTCCCATCAAAGAAGTCAACGGTGCAATTGAACACAGTTTGGGGACTGAACCAGTGTTTGGCCAGAACCGTCAGTCTGCTGGTGATGTTGTAAGACTCTCCGACTCTGCGGGCGGCGCCGTCTGTCTGCACGCCTTCCCTGACTCTTAGCCCATTGATGAACCAGGACACACTGACGTGGTCCGGGTAGAACCCGGAGGCCACGCACACCAGGGTCTTTTTCCTGATGTCCCTCTTGTTCTTGTTTTCTTGTTCTTTTCTTGATCTGCACTGCTTCTCTGAAGGCGGTAGAAGTTTTACTGTTGGAAGAACTGGTTCACGACCGGTTTCTGCCGGGAACAAAAAAACGTGAAAAATTAAAACTGCGAGTAGATCTGCAACCAAAAACCACATGAGACTCAAACCTACTGAAGACTGAGGATCTGACCAGGCCACTGTCAAATAAAAAATAAACTTTTAAATCTTCTGCAGCAGAACCTCAACTTGCTCGATAAGTTCAATAAGTTAAAAAACTGAGACACTTGTCTTGATTCTGTTTTCTGAGAGAGTTCAGCCACAGATCAAATTGAGATCGTCACAACTTTTACTGTTTTTTTTTTTTTTACAGAACAATTTACAGCATTAAAGTTTAAGACTGAGAAATATCCTAACCAGATGTTAAAACAGTATCTTTACACTACTTTAAAAAAATAAAGTGTATATATTTGTTTATTTTCATACCTAAGACCGTGAGTTTGGTTCCTTTGCCAAAGTATGCCGGTTCGTAGTTGTTCACGCTGATGAAAGGCTTCATGAAAACTGCTGAAGCTGCCGCGACTCTAAACTTTTTATTTTTTTACTTCAACGGAACATTTTTCATCACAACCTGCCTCAGCTTTTTAAAGAACTTTAAACAAGATTTCTGGATCAGTTGAGGAGAACGATATTAAAAGACTGGAAGATGATTTTAAAATGTCATTCCAGATAAATTTGCACAAAATTTTAAAACGTTTTTCCTTCACTTTCTTACCTAAAACTGTGAGTTTAGTTCCAGCTCCAAAGTGAGCTTCTGACTGGATGTTCATGCTGTTTCACAGAGCTGATAGAACCGACTGCGAGGAAACATCTGGGCTCAGAACCAGATGTTCTGGAACTAAAATATTTTACTGACACAAGCCTCGGAATGAAGAAGACTTAAAGCCCCATCATAAAGAATGAATTTATACAACCCTACATGTTTAAATCTGTTTTTCCTTCTGTAAATCACATTTGATTTAATCTGGTCTTCATATCTGTGTTTAAAATAAAAACATTTTTATATTTGCAATTTTTAAATGTTTTCTCACCTAAAACAGTTAACTTTGTTCCTTCACCAAAATAAGCCTCAGATGCAGAGTCACAGTGCTGCAAACAGCTGCTGTTTGGACTCAAACCAGCAACCACCAACTGTTTACGCATTTTACAATCTGTTTTACACATTTTACAAACTGTTTATGCATTTTTCAAACTGTTTTACGCATTTTTCAAACTGTTTTACGCATTTTACAAACTGTTTATGCATTTTTCAAACTGTTTTACGCATTTTACAAACTGTTTATGAATTTTTCAAACTGTTTTACACATTTTACAAACTGTTTTACACATTTTGCAAACTGTTTATCGCATTTTACTAACTGTTTTACGCATTTTACAAAGTGTTTACGCATTTTACAAACTGTTTTACGCATTTTACAAACTGTTTACGCATTTTACAAACTGTTTTACGCATTTTGCAAACTGTTTATCGCATTTTACAAACTGTTTTACACATTTTACAAACTGTTTTATGCATTTTACAAACTGTGTTACGCATTTTACAAACTGTTTACGCATTTTACAAACGGTTTACGCATTTTTCAAACTGTTTTACGCATTTTACAAACCGTTTTATACGTTTTACTGGTCTGAAACTTGTCTTTACTGGCAGAGAATTGTGAGGCATTTAATTTATTGATTTTGTATTTATCGTTTTTACAAATGGTAAAAGGAAGCCGTGTCATTGTTTGCAGTAGAAACCTGAAGGCCTTCAGCTGCTCTTTAAACGGTTTGGTTTGTTTCGTTCTGTTTCTCAGGATCTGGTTCCTTACCTAAAACGGTTAACTTAGTTCCAGCTCCAAAGAAAGCTTCGGTAAAACCAGCGGCACGGCGTTCAAGATCCGAACTCAAAACACCCAAACTGCTGCTGCTCAGCTCCGACTTTAACATTTAAAATCTTTTGAATTTTTCCTCTCTGTCAATTCAAGCATCAGATAATTCACTTTTATAAATGTTACAAGGTAGAATACCGGCTTTGACTGCTTTTAAAAGTATCAAAACAGGTTGGTTCATCTTTGACACCAAAGTGAAAAATCCTGAGAAATCACTTTTTTTTAAAGAACAACTCTGTTAGTTTTTATTTTGCTGCTGTAAAGAATAATAAGGTTTTATATGGCTTACCTAAAACGGTTAACTTAGTTCCAGCTCCAAAGTAAGCCTCGTTATAACCAGTGGCACAGTGCTCATGAGCAAAGCTCAAAACTCTGATTTTAAACCCAACATTTAGCTGTTTGGAGGTTTTCAGCATTAAGAAGATTTTTCTTCAGCTTCTCGCTGCCATCAGCAGAAACGGCCTCACTTACCCAGAACCGTCAGTTTGGTTCCCTGACCGAAATAAGCTTCGTAATTGACACAGCGCTTCGTCTGAGTGTCAAAAAGTCCTGAGCTGAGTTCTGACCCGGGTCCTGGTTCTGGATGGTCTGTTTCGTCCTTCACTCACCTAAAACGGTCACTTTGGTTCCTTTTCCAAAGTAAGCCTCGTAGGCGTTGTCACAGTGCAGCCGGACTGAACGTGTAACTGTTCTGTGTTTCTACAGACACTTTGAGCCTCTAACCTGAGAACCATCGAGCAAAACGTACACCTGAAGGGAACTTTTACCTAAAACGGTCACTTTGGTTCCTCGGCCGAAGTAAGCGGGCTCGCCGTAGGTCACAGTGGTGTGGCTTCAGCTCAATACGTGGCATTTTGAAACACATCCGTTTGTTTTAACTGATACTTGAATTTTTCTGTTTCAGTCAAAGTGACCAGAACTTCAGAGGAGTCCAACTCACCCAGAACAGTCAGTTTGGTTCCTTTTCCAAAGTAAGCTTCAGTTCCAGTGTCACACTGACTGTCTCCTCTACCAAAAGGGCCCAAAACCATCAACAGTCATCTGGTTCTGACCCGTCTGCACGATCCAGATAAACGTTTTAAAGAAGCAACAAGAAGGTTGTTTTCTTTTCAACACGAGTGACACTTTGTCCAAACGCTGCAGACATGAACTCGAAGACCTTTTTTTATAAAATGGTTTTTGGGTCCAGTTTCTGACTTTTTCAGGACATGTTGCATCCGAAGCGTCCCAGCTTCCTGCACGCCTTCAGCTGATAGACTTGTTG